TCCCCACCCCGCCACAACCCAGTGGCCCTGTCAGTGCCTCTCATCCTGCCTGCCGCCTCCCCTCCCCAGCTCTGCCACCCTCAGCTGCCAGGGCTATGAGGTCCTGACCCCAGGTCCACAGCCCCCTGCCTCTGGCAGGAGGTGGTGGCTGGTAAGCCTGGCTCCCCACTGCCTGCTTTGGGCTCGGGCAGGGGAGGCTTGCTCCCTGCTGCTGCAAACACTCCCCAGGGAGCAGGGGGCACCTGTGCCCCCCAGATCAGAGCACGGGGTGGGCTGTATGCTCAGGTGTGGGCGGGTGGTTTGAGGCCAGCTTCTTGGCACTGCATGCACTTCCCGGGGGGCAGGGAGGACCCATGCTCCCCAGATCCATGCATGGGGTGGGCGAGGGCTGCAGGCTCCCACCCTGCTGCCCTAACCCAGGACCTCCGCAGCCCAACAGGAACAACCCAGTGCAGTAGGGAACAGCGGGGCCATGCAGAGAAGCTGCCTGCAGCTGCGAGCTCCACACTACCCTAGCAATATGCCTTCTGCGCACACAGCCGCAGTGAGGGCAGTGGCGCAGGGCTGCGCTGATTAAAGCTGCCCCATATGCAGTGGACACATTGCCGGACCAGCATGGAGCTTGCAGCGGCAGACAGCTTCTCTGCATGGCCCCACTGTTCCCTACCACACTGGGTCACACCCACTGGGCTGCGGAGACCCCAGGGTAGGAGCTTGAGCCTGCACCCACCACCACCCCTTCCCCACGTACAGATCTGGAGGGTGCAGGTCCCGCTGGCCGTAGGGATTGCGTGCAACACTGGGGAGCCAGCCCCCACTTCCAGACAAGCTGCCCATAGCGCCATCCCACTTGGGCCCTGCAGCCGCACATTGCAACCCCGGATCCTAAGCCCTATGCACTGTCCAGCTGGGCAGCAGCCCCAGTCCCAGCCCTGCCCGATTCCCCCTCCTCCCTCCCTATGGGGGCTCAATACCCTCCACCAACCTACTTACCTGCAGGAGTTGTTCTCTGGGCTGCACATGGAGCCCCCCCAACTGACTGCCCTTCTCCTGCTCCCTCCAGGCTGGAACTGTGCCAACCTGCAGGGAGCTTACTGCAAAACAACGAAATCCACAGGTACAATGAGAAATCTGCATTTGCCTCTGGTAAAAGGTGAAATCCATGGTTTACTCCATTTTTCCATGGGAAATGGAAAACCTTGATCCCTGCTAATAATACATAAAATGTCACAGAAAAAGAAAAGAAAAATGTTTCTACAGACATAACCACTGCATTTTTTATTGAAGTATGGTGTCCAAGTGAAGCAACCATTTAGTGGGAAAGGATAGTACCTTATCTGAACATTTATATTACTCATCCTGAGACACTTCTCTTTCCAATAACATAGTATCCGTTGATCCATCATCCCTATCCTTAATTTAAAGCATGATCCCAAAAAATCATACATCCTACCTTCCCAGACCTTCAAGATCTGGCATATCAGAATGCATGATTTTGGGGATCCAAGGTAAAAATTGCTTAGATCCCACCACACACTTGCTGGCCCTTGGAGAACTTGGAACCAGGTAACAGTTCCTAGTTGAATGTTCAGGGAGCTGCATGCTGGCATGTTCAAAGAAGCTATGTACAGCTGGGCTGCACACATACCTTTTAAAGGCCCTGACACACACGAGCAGATATGCACCTGGATAATGTTCTCAAAGAGCTTCCCCAGGACTGAGGTAAGACTAACAGGCCTATAATTTCCTGGGTCCTCTTTTCTCCC